TCACAGCATGGTTTTAAATGCAGAAACCTAGTCTGTAAAATGTTTTGCAGCTGGTGTCAAGTGCAAAAATATACAACCCAGCCCTCTAACCTGAGACATTCCTACCACTGCACCTGGGTTTTCACATACAGGCTGGGAAATGGTAGAAATACCCCTTAGCATAGTCTTTGGAGAATTCCTATAGCTCTCTATGGCCACATGGAGGATGATGGATGGGACTTGGAGTCAGATAGTCCTGGGTTCCAATCCCGGCTGTGTTATTGCTTAGCTCCCAAGGCTATGGTTCATGCTTGGCCTTTCTGCTACACTTACCCAGCTCTAACCTAGAAATACTGGCCCACAATCCCAGATGTTGTGAGTTCTAAAGAAATAACGTCTTTGTGGGACTATAAAAACTAACTGCTTTGACTTGGGTAAATTCTGGCATTCTTTTTATCTTTTCCAGCCTTGTATGTCTTAAAAATGTATCTTATGTGAATATTCTGCAGATAAATAACAAGGCCTGTCATGAGGCAAAATACAGCACCTGGTGCACAGTTGGCACTGAGGAAGTAATAGTCTATGAATGCTTTTCTTTTCAGGGATTGATCTTGAGAACATTGTTTACTACAAGGACTGCACCCACTATTTTGTCATGACAGCCAAGAAGCAGAGCCTGCTCGACAAAGGTGTCATCATTAATGTACGTACCTCTTGACTGTGATTTCCCAAGTGTCTTTCCCTCCGTGACCTGGGGTGGGAGCAGACATCGTCCTGCCAGAAACTGAGTGAGGGGACAGGAAGGGAGCACCTGCTTACCACCTTCGTTTCCCCTGGTGTTGCATGAGTGCTGGGTAAAAGAGCTGTGCCAGCACACACACAGATGTTCCTGCAGAGACGCGTGTGGTGCTATGAGACCTTTACCCACGTGTTAATGTGAATCAGCTGAGTCTTCCCCTTCTCCAAATCTCACTCAGCTCTGGGAGGTCTCATGTCATTGAGAGGCAGGTGGGGGCTCCTTATCCTAGTGGCACATAGAGATGCTTTCACTTGTGAATGTCATGCTGTGGCCGCTTGTCATGGTATGGGGGGAAGCTCATATTCAGGCAGTTGAAAAGACTCGAGCTGAATCTTGGCTCTGCCACATACTAACTCAAGGTCGCGGGTGAACTCTGTCCTTTCTGAACCTCTGTCTTCTCATCTACAAGATAGGAATAACGGTTTCTGTCTGAAAGGGTTCTTAGGAGGAGCAAGTATGTATGTGTATATGTATATAAATGTATACAGAGCACCTCGCACAGCGCCTGGCATATGGTGTGTTTGTAGATTCCCTCCAGAACTTCTCAGCCTTGCTTGGACACCTGCTTTTTGGGCCTGCTGCCTTCTTGGCCTCTGCTTTGTGAGTTTGCATCTTCACGCTTAAAGACAGAGCAGGGTTGGAAGGAGAAGCTCACAGAGTGGTGGTCCCTGGGCTGGCAGCTGCTGTGGTTGGGTTTTCAGCCTTTCCAGAGCCCCCACACTTGCCACTGCTGCATTTTCAGGATAAGGATCATGTAGCCCAAGGTCAGCCTGTTCTCTTGGTGTTGGCTAGAGCCCAGGTAGCATGGTGACCTTTCATTGCTGCTTGTCAGAGAAGAATGCACCTATTTCCTTGCCACCTTGTGCCAGCAGCCAGCCGGGCAGCATTGGTAACCCAGCCCTCCCCTGGGCCTCCTCCACATCGCCCAGGTCTTTACTGAGAGCTGAGCTGTGGCCAGAGGCTGTGAGCAGGGCCGGGTGCAGCTGGCTGAGCACACAGCAGGTGTGTGGGCAATGAGCTTCAGCCTCTGCTGCCCTGCTGTTGACTGGGTGGTCTGGGGCAGGTGTTCCTCTGATGTTGCCTTCTCAGTCTGGAGCTGTGTCAGAGTGAAGGAGCATTCTGAGATGCAGGAAGCAGGTTCAGTGGGCACCTTTGCCTAGGAGGGGCTGGGCAGTCAGGCATGTTTAATTTGGGTTTTATGTTTTGCTAGCGGAGTAGAATTTCTGGAACAAGGCATTTGAAATCATGGCTATTTAGAAAATTGAGACAGTGGGTCGCTCTGGGTATAGATGAGGCTGTGCCTTTTGAGATCCTTGTGAATGCTCTTGCTGGTGCCTGGGATGGTCCAGGATGCACTTCCTTATATGCTGCATGTAGTGCTGTCATGAATTACTGGGCACAGGATTCCCACTCACTGAGCACTTCCCATGGGCCCAGCATAGGGCTAGGGATTGCATGTGTGCAATCTTTTTCAGTCCTTGCGTGTCTCTGTGACATAGATTTTGTTATTCCCACTTCACAAGAGAAAATGGAGACTCAGAAAGTCAAATAACTTGCCCAAGTTTATAGTTAGTCAACAGTAGAGGTGGAATTTGACCTGTTGCTCTCGCTGACCCCAAAGCCTGTGTTCAACTTACACACTAGTCCCCTCCCTCTCCCCCTGGGTATATGCACCTTTTGGGTTACCTCTGGGAAAAGTGGTCTTTAGTCTCATTAGCCACATGATGAGCAGATTGGAAGCTGGGAATACTCTAAACTTTCTCACTTTCATCAGACCCTGACATCCTGTGGTTCATCACTGGTGTCCCTCCAGGATGGATATCCTCCTGGTCCTCCAAGGTCAGGGGTCTCTACCGCCCAGCAGGACAGCGTAACAATTAACAATCTATGAGCTATGCCAAACCCCAAGAGCAACGCCAAGCCCCGAGCAGTCCTCAGCTTGTCCAGAAAAGGGGTAACTGATTCTCAAGAAGGGGCTTGAGTTCATGTCCAACCGCCCAGCAGGACAGCGTAACAATTAACAATCTATGAGCTATGCCAAACCCCAAGAGCAATGCCAAGCCCCGAGCAGTCCTCAGCTTGTCCAGAAAAGGGGTAACTGATTCTCAAGAAGGGGCTTGAGTTCATGTCCAGCACCCATGTTTTTTTTCTGGTCTTGTTTGACTGCTAAACACACATCTGGACCACATTAGCTTAGCTCAGTCCATTATAAAATCACACTTCTTGGCTTACTCTTTTGTCTATTAATGGTACTGAAATTTGTCACAAGAACCAGCCATATCAAATGTGCTGCTTGTTTTGTTGCAAGACTATGTGAAGTACACTGTTCGGTACAACTCTCGATGTGCTCTGTTGAAATCCCTGCGTGAGACAGACATTTTAGAATTGAGTGCCAGGAAAAAATTGAATGCCTTAAGGAATTTGTATGCTTCCTTCTTTCTGATAAGGAAAGCCCTGTAACATATCACATTTCCCTTTTGCCTAGGATGCTGGGAAGCTCAAAGCCAAATTTGATGCTTAATCAAGACTGTAAATCCTCACAGCTGGCTGATTTGTTTCCTCTTTACTCTCTTTGCCATGGTTTTCTATGTCTGTTTTGATGAGCCTCACTGTACAGACCTATTCCGTGTCCTTTTGCCAAGAAGTGGTATGAATACTGGCTACTAGTATACAGAGGGGGAGGCTGCTTCACCGTGTTTTGATCTTCCCCAGGACTACATCGACACAGAGATGCTGCTGTGTGCAGAGAATGTGAACCAGGACAACCTGCTCTCCTATGCCCGAGAAGCTGCAGACTTTGCCACCAATTACCAGCTGCCCTCCTTAGACTATGCCATGAATCACTATGGGCAGCCCGACGTGGCCATGTTTGACTTCACCTCCATGTATGCTTCAGAGAATGCAGCCCTGGTGCGCGAGCGTCAGGCACACCAGCTGCTCGTCGCCCTCGTGGGTGACAGCTTGCTTGAGGTACCGCATGTGTTTGGAGCCTGCTACGGGAGACATCTCTGCATTTATGTTCTGGCTGGCAGCATCTGCTGTCATGCATCTGGGGAAAGGACAGGCTCTCAGCCAGTTGGCAGGACTCTGCCAAGCCATCCTGGCCTCAGAGCCTATCATTTCACTCAGAGGAACCCATTCTGCCTGTGTGTAGGTGGGAAAGCTTTCTCTGCCATCTCCAGGTTCTTCTGGGCTGAATTCTTTGATCAAGTACAAAATCAAGCAGCTTTTGTCCGGTCTGCGTGGGCCATCCTTGACCCTCAGCTGGGCCGAGACTCCTTCCTCATGTGGGTGGCCCTTTGTGGGTATGGAGATCATTTTGGGTGCAAGAGAGGCCTGGGGACCCCAAAGTCCAGTTTCCATCCATGGCTTCCCTGCTCACAATTTTTTTCAGCAAATCTGCAAGTGCGAGGACCCTTAGGTTAAATGAATGATCTTTCATGTAAGCACCAACCAGAAAACGTTTATGTATTTGTCCCAAGTTAAGGGTTAAATTCCATATGATCCTTTGGGTGCTCCTGACCCAGGCTAGCTTGGTTGACTTGGGCCTTGCTCATCATCGTGCATGGACTCTCCTTACGCTCCATGGCGGAGCACTCCACACCCACCCTACTGTGGCCCAGTCTCCCTGCTTTATCTCTCAGTACACTCCTCCCATGTGCTGTGCCACATCCAAACCACACTGCTGTTCTTCCATTAGGCTCTGGCATTTTCCAGCTACCAAGACTTGACCCATGCTATTCCTGAATGGATCAAGACCAGAATCCTATTCATTCTTTAAAATCAGCATAAATGCGACTCTTGTATGAAGCCGACTCTGATTTCCACCTTCCTGTCCCAGGGGGAATTTTCTTTCCCTCTCTGAGCCCTTCAGCAGTTTTGCTGTACCTGTGTCATAGCGCCTTTTACATTTGACTTTGCGCTATAGCTGTTTGTGTCTGTGGTAAATCCTTGTAGGCAGAGGGTCGCTGCCCTGTCACCTCTCTGTCCCTCCAGTGCATCACACAGGGCTAGCGGTTGGTGAGTTCTGGGTAGAGTGGGATAGCAGGCTGAGTCCTTGGAATCAGCAGGAATTGTGCATGTTTTCTTTTGCAGCCATTTTGGCCTATGGGCACAGGCTGTGCCCGCGGCTTCCTGGCAGCCTTTGACACAGCCTGGATGGTGAAGAACTGGGACCAAGGCACTCCTCCCCTGGAGCTGCTGGCCGAAAGGTGAGTTGCAGCCATTTTGGCCTATGGGCACAGGCTGTGCCCGCGGCTTCCTGGCAGCCTTTGACACGGCCTGGATGGTGAAGAACTGGGACCAAGGCACTCCTCCCCTGGAGCTGCTGGCCGAAAGGTGAATTTTGACAGCAGGGCTCCTAGCAGGGCTGGGTCAAAAGCTCAGGCAGAAGAGGGGGTTGGGACCACTGTCAAGTGACTCCCAGATGTACCTTGAGCTCTGCCCCCCTCTTATCTCCCCTCCCACATGTGGCCTGATTTGATCATCAGGGTCCCTCAGGACACTTTCTCCATCGTAATCTGCCTCCTTCAGTGACTTTCTCCAGTAGCCAGGACCTCAGACTCTAGATGCCAAAGAGAAGTCTTCGTCTGGCATGACCCTAAGATTGGGGCTCCCTGACACTGCTCGTTTGCCCAAGATCCAGAGAGCTTTGTTTCAGGGACTCTTCCAGGAAAGCGCTGAGTGTCCCTCCCTGACTGGGGGTTGGGTTCTGTGGCTCCCAGCCCTCTCCCACTGCTGAGATCCTGGGCTTCCTCCCAGACCCCTGCAGCTGGCCACGTGGCTGTGACAGCTGATAGACGCAGGCCCCTGATGGACTTGGGTGTAGAGGCCTGTGGTCATGGGGGACAGGCCACAGGACGCAGTGTAGCAAAACCACAGGTCACCACACTGCCAGCCCTGTGTCCCTGCCTTCCGTCTGGGGAGAGAGGCCAGCGTCTCTGACGCCACTTCCTCTCGGTCCCCTTGACCCTCTCGCCATTTTGCAGTTCTCAAGAACCACGGGTGCCGGGCATCACAGGGAAGGTTACACAAACACATCCAAGAAGCCCTTGAACCAGGGGAATGGGGGAAGGGGGGGGTGTTGGGGAGAGAGGCCTGAGGTGGCAAGAGCGATCCCTGACCTCTGGATTCTGCCACCCTCCAGAGAGAGTCTTTACCGGTTGCTACCTCAAACAACCCCAGAGAACATCAACAAGAACTTTGAGCAGTACACGTTGGACCCAGGGACACGGTACCCAAACCTCAACTCGAACTGTGTCAGGCCCCATCAGGTAAGTCTGTCCCTGGGACCTGTCTGGGTCACTCTGCACTCAGTGAAGGGAGGGAGGTCACATTAAATCTTGGCTGTCACACATTTCTGGGACAGAGGCTAACGGTACCTGTTGGCCTAAAGGCAGGACCATTTCTTCTGCCCAGGAGAGTCACAGGAGCACAATAGAATCAGCATTCTTTCTAGCACACAGGAGAGAACTGGAACACATACCGGTGGGTGCATATATGCGTACGTGCACATATTCACATATGGCAACTTATCACTGTGCATAGGAGATCATATCTCTCTCCAATAATCTGTTTAGCCAAATGTCCACTGTCCTTACCACCCATGGTCCTGGAGTCCATTTCTTCTCCCATTGATCCAGAGCCACCAAACCCCCAGCCTTTGCTGTCCATAGAATGGTGTGAATTTTTAAAATGAGCCAATTACATAGATTTACACACATTCACACTCACTCATTTGAGTGGATAACTGAGGTTCATTGCTCTATGATCAGGTCATCTGGGTTCCCTCACTGATGGTCATGCCCTCCAGTGATAGAGGAAAAGGGTGGCAGGCACTGAGCAGGGGGTGGGTGGAGTTTAGAGGCCCTGAGACTAGGGTTTGGGGGACACTGGTGGGCAGGCACGTGGTCTCTCTTGTTTGTAGGTGAAGCACTTGTACATCACCAAGGAGCTGGACCACTCACCTCTCGAGAGACTGGGCTCAGTGAGGAAATCTGTCAGCCTCTCCAGGCACGGTAAGTCACCCTCCTGGGACCCTGACTAGGTCGCTGGGAGGGGCTTTGCAGGGAGGCAGTCTATTCCATGGCCATGGTGACACAGGCTCTGCCCCTGCTACCTGTGTGACCTTGGGCAGGTGCCTGTCATCTTTGTGCTTGGACAACTGCTACTCATTGAGTCATCGTGAGGATTAAATATATTCATTTGCATTGAGCTCTTAGCACAGTAGATGTGAACTGTGGAATTATCTCACTGAGACTTGCTTTTCCTTTGCTGTTCTTTCCAGTGTGGGGGTCTTGTCCCCCGAACTGGGCAGAGCTTCCTGGACTAACACAGCGCTGGGCATAGGCCTGTGCTCAGGGGCCAGCTCCCAGCGTGGCTCAGAGAGGTCTCTGTGCCTGTGCCTGTGCAGACTTTGCCTCCTCTTCTTCCTTTGGCAAACTCAGCTTACTCCTCCCCTCCACACACCACATCCCTCTGCTGTAATAAACTGTTTTACTGCTACGCAAACATGGCAGGTTTCACTGGATTCTTTGCCACTGCACAGTCCTTTCTGTTTTCCTGGAATGCCTTCTTCTGTCTAATGAATTCCTAGACACTGGGGGGTTTTTTTTGTTTTTTTGGTGGCTGGCTGGTCTGGGAATCTGAACCCTTGACCTTGGAGTTACAAGGTGGAGCTCTAACCAACTGTGCTAACCAGCCAGCCTGAATTCCTAGACACTCTTCAAGAACAAGCTTGAATGCATCTCCCTGAGACATTTTCTTTAGAGTTCTGCTCTCCAGGCAGACAGGCTCACATGCTCTTGCAGTGCCTGGTTCTCCCTCTGTCTGAACCCTTGACCTTGGAGTTACAAGGTGGAGCTCTAACCAACTGTGCTAACCAGCCAGCTTGAATTCCTAGACACTCTTCAAGAACAAGCTTGAATGCATCTCCCTGAGACATTTTCTTTAGAGTTCTGCTCTCCCGGCAGACAGACTCACATGCTCTTGCAGTGCCTGGTTCTCCCTCTATTGCGGCACCATGCCAGCATCACTTGCCTCTGTGTCTGTCTGCCCCACTAGTGAGTGTGCTGTCGGCAGGATCTGTATTCCTGGCCTCTAACCCAGGGTCTGGCCACAGTCAGTCTCAGGGACTCTGAAGGAGGAGAGTGTGCTTCCCGTCCTGGCATCCTGCCCTCCTGCCATACTCTTGACTGGGCCCCCATGCAACAGTCCTCAGGGGGCTGCACCCATGCCAGTGGCCACCTGCCCCAGCCTCTGGTCCCCAGCCTCCTGGCAGTGGGAGGGATCCCCATCCTGAGGTTTCCTCTATAGCTTCACTGCCTATGCCCCACTTCCTACAGAGTCTGACATCCGGCCCAGCAAGCTCTTAACCTGGTGCCAGCAGCAGACCGAGGGCTACCGGCACGTCAACGTCACTGACCTGACCACCTCCTGGCGCAGTGGCCTGGCCCTGTGCGCTATCATCCACCACTTCCGGCCTGAGCTGATGTGAGTCTGGGGCCCCACAGGACCCTGGGGACAAAGGATACCAGAGCTGTTCTGCTGGATGCAGAATCTTCACTACCTGATTCAGTTTTCAATTTGAGTTTTTTTATAAATGTGTTCTTTTCTCTTTGTACTGATCACTGTCAGCAACATGTTTGATATGTGTCCCTAATATGTGAGGATAAAAATAGGCTCAGGCTCCATCATTGCTTTCTGGTGCCCATCCCACCCCCAATTGCTACACTTTGGAAATTTTAGCATTCGCTCTACCCCAGGAGAGGAAGGGTGGGCAAGACCTAGTTCTGGGAACCAGTCTGAGGGATTTACAGCCAAAGGAATTAGGTTTGAGACTCAGATCTGTTAGCTATGTGCCATTGGACAAGCCCCTTATCTCCTCTGAGCTTTAGACTTTTCGTCTATGAATTGGGAATAATGGCAGGGTCATTGGGAAGATCAGATTATGTTTCTGGAAACAGTTGGAGATGTCCAGAGCACAATGCATTTATATTTAAATCAACATCAATATAACCTCACATGCATGTGCAAAAGAGTCTGGAAGGCAGCCTACCAAAGGGGTGTCTAATGGTACCATAAGGCAGTGGGGTTGCCTTGAGAAAGGGGTGGGGCTCTCACTTTTTATTTTATTTGATATATATAACTGGATTTTTATTTTTACAAGAAGCCCCTATTACACTGGTAATTAAACAGAAGAAAACATAAGGGAAGTATTTAACAGTAGAGTAGCTCATAAATTTTCCAAGAGGTTTAAATCATTTTCTGATGGTTTCAGCCCAGGCAGTGGCCCAAGTCTGCCTTGGTCCCTCCCTGAGTGAGAAGGATGCGTTAGTGCCTTCTTGGGGGGGTGGGGGGTCACTGCTCTTTCAACCTCCGCCCCCAGCCTTGCTGACCCCTGGCAGAGTGTCACCCCCAGTGTTCTTTATGGGCCGTATTTGCTCCGCTCATCCCACCTCCACCTCCTCTCTCTGACCTGCTCTTTCAACCTCCGCCCCCAGCCTTGCTGACCCCTGGCAGAGTGTCACCCCCAGTGTTATTTATGGGCCATATTTGCTCCGCTCATCCCACCTCCACCTCCTCTCTCTGACCTTCTTCACTTTGCTTTGATTCTCCAGCAACTTTGACTCTTTGAATGAAGACAACGCTGTGGAGAACAACCAGCTAGCATTTGATGTGGCTGAGCGGGAGTTTGGGATCCCTCCAGTGACCACAGGCAAAGAGATGGCATCAGCCCAGGAGCCTGACAAGCTCAGCATGGTCATGTACCTCTCCAAGTTCTACGAACTCTTCCGGGGCACCCCACTGAGGCCCATGGGTGAGGACCTGCATGGGGGCTCACTCGGCCCCTCGAGCCATCTCTGTCCTGTGGCTAGTCTGGATGTTCCTACATTGGTGCCCTCTGTTTTGGGGCTGACCAATGCTTTCCCTTTGACTTTGAGGCCAAATAGTGTGACCTCACCCACCCAGACCTGTTGTGTGAGTGGGTCTGTGTAGAAGCCTTGTGGGGCGCCCCTGCTCTGTCACTGGGACGTTACTATAGACTTCTGTCACCCCCTACCCAGGACATTTACATTTTTAGTTTGAAGTGAGAGAATGATTTTAGAGGGACCTTGTTACAACATCCCCTGGTTACAACAGCACCTTCTGGTCTCGGGATCCAAATCTCAGTAGCGCTTTTATTTCCTAACAGATTCTTGGCGCAAAAACTATGGAGAAAATGCTGACCTCAGCTTGGCCAAATCATCCATTTCTAATAACTATCTCAACCTCACATTTCCAAGGAAGAGGACTCCACGAGTAAGTTTCGGCCTGGTCTTTGTTTGATTTCCCCTTACACATGGATGGGATAAGCTGAAGGGAGAATTTTGTGCTCTCAGTGTGTGGATGCTGATAAGTCACGCAGATCAAGTGCTCACAGAGGCTGTGAGTGAAACTGGGTTTAGTAACTGTTTTTGTTAGTTCTCCCTGGCACTGTGTAGCTAGTTTCAGTGACTTAAAAGTGATTATAGGAAGGGCATGGTAGAGAGCCAAGAGGACGTGCTGGAGAATATTTTTTAAAGTGTATCTGATTAGCTCTGCCTCCCAAGGGATGGGGATGAGATGATTTCTCACTCTGCTGAGCAGTTTAGATCAGGAACATGATGGCCATTAGTTTACTGGCAAAAGTGTATAGTGGTGATGCTACATTTACACATTTGTTCCATTAATTTTTATTCATTCATTCAACAAATGTTTATTGGGCCCTTCTATATGCCAACTTTAGGACTTTAGTTTTTGTTTATTTTTATGAGGGGAGCAAATATACAGAAATGAAGACTGTATGGACCTTGCCTTTGAGGAACTCAGAGCCTATAAAAAAGGTTCCCAAATTTTCTCAACTTATAGCACACTTAGTGTCCCTATAATTTTTTTCATGGTGCCCCTAGAGCAAAAGAAATACCTAGCAATTCTGTTTATTAAGTAGCTAAGTTCAAATAACTTAATAGGAGTATTTTGCAAGGTGTCTGACACATTATCATGTTTCCCTAGAAAATTTAAAATATCCGGCAGCTCCTCTGTGAGTTCACTATGGTGTCTCAGGGCACCTTGGTACACAGTTTGGGAACCAGAGTCCTAAGAAGCAATTACAATTTTATTTGAATGATGGCATCTCAGTATGGGAGGTATAATCAAGTTTTCTTGCTTAATGTGCTCATTTTACATCTAAAAAATGGAGCCCAGAGAGGCAGGGTGCCTTGCCCAAAGCCACACACTACTTAGTGGTACTTCATTGCTTTCCCCCTGTGTCACACTTCCTTCACCACTAATTAGCTCATTCATTAAAAGGCATTTATCATGTGTGCAGTGATAGGACACGCAAAGTGACGTGATGCTTGATCTTAGAGTCTGGTTGGGAAGATAAGATACTAGGAAGGTAGGGAGAAGACCAAGGACCAAGCCTTTGAACTTAGCAAGAGAATTTAAGAGGCTGATGGAGGCAGAGCAGCAGGAGGGAAGATGGGGAAGGGGGCAGACAGAGAAGCAGGAAGGGGCAGAAAGCCCAGGGAGAGAGTGTCTCTCCAGCATGGGTCCAGGAGACAACACCAGGCCACAGGGGAGCCGGATGGGCCAGGACTGAGGGATTTAGATGCTTTGGGGCAGAAGACAAATGTCAGGACTAGGCAGGAGTGGGGAGTTGCTGGGGTGGGCCATTGGAGCAGAGGAGAGGAAAGAGGCCAGGGAGAAGGGGGCCAGAGTGAGCCACCGGCTTGGGCAGGGGCAGGTGTGAGTGTCCCACCCAGAGCTTGCCACCTCTCTTCAGAACAGCAGGGCATTCTCTACTGGCACGGCAGCAGGCTGCAGGCCTCTGCACATTTCTCAGTCACTCCAGGTCACAGACAGTCTCTTCACCCCTGGCCGGTCCTGCCTTGCCCACCAGCCCCTCTGCCCAGGGCGGGGTGGGTCAGCTGGCCTCCTTCTTTCTTCCCCTGGGCTGAGTGAGCAGGGGTCACTTTTTCCACCGAAGCCTGCACAGTCCCTGGAATGTCGCAGCAGCTGTTTTGCTAACTGCAGGAACAGGGTACTTGAAGCTTCTGCCCCACCCGGCTATAGGAAGGAATGGGCTGGGAAGGCCGACGTGTGTGCCAGTCTGCTGGACTGTTTGGCCAAGCAGCTGCTCTCTCCCGCTCTGCTTCCTGAGCTGCCCGACTTACAGGCTCTGTGTCAGGGCTGTACTGCCTGCTGTCCCCACTGAGCCAGCGCTGTCTTCTGGAGACCGGTTGCCAGCTTGTTCCACCCTAGCCCACCATTGTTCCTCGGAAGGCTGAGGACCCCTGTTATGGGATGCTCCATCCCAAGCAAGCCAGTGCGGCCTTTCTGGAAGCTCTCTGAGCCAGATACTTACCTCCCTCTCCATTCACCCTGTTCCTGCCACCACTTTGCCCACAGAGGGAACTGGAGAGGGATGTTTAAACCTTTCACTCACCACACCTCTGTTTGCAGAGTGACCGAATTGCAGCAGCCGGCCAGCACTGGCTCAGGAGGCAGGATGGCCAGAAGTCAGGAGCCAGCCTGGCCGCTAGGGCTACTGGACCTCGCTCCTCTTCCCTCTGGCTCCTCTGGGAAATGCTTAGGGGGTTGGTGGGCTCTGCCTGGCCCCACCCTGGTCCTTTTGAACCATGTCCAGTCCCCTCCAGGGTGTGCCCCCTGGCTGCCTATCTTGAGAGGAGTTAAGACGCATGGACCTGATCCCTCCCACAGCCCCATTTAATGTCGAAAATGTGCCCCGCTCTTTGGATAGGTAAAGAGATTTGGTCACTGAAATAGGTGCCTGAGGTGGGCATTATTTGTCCTCTCTCTCCTCAAACAGACTGAGCACTTCTGCTGAGTAGGTGGGTGGGTTGGTAAAGCCACGGGTCACACTCTGCCTCGGGCAGCTCTGAAAAGCCCCAGCATATTGTGCACCACTCAATGCCAGCACAGTGACTAGGACCACCTGGGAAGTACCTTTGCCCCATTTTACCATTTTGTGTACCATTTGTGTACCATTTTGTGTCCCATTGCCCCAATTTGTGTTGTATCTGAAACTGTTTTGGTTTGTGGAACCTATTTGCAGTGCTCTTTGGCCTTAACATTTTTCACAAGCAAGGTATGCTGAGTCCACTCCAATCTGGTCCTGAACAAACATGGAGAATGTCTGCACACAAGACTCTGAAATCAGCACTCACGTCTATGTCTAAACACAGATGCCCCACCACAGTTACACTGAGATGTCGGTGCAGTTGGACACGCAACCCTCAGTGCCCTAGCTCACGTGGCCATGTGGAATAGAGATACCGGGTAGGCCGTGCGTGCACTGTTCTGCGCCGCAGTGTACACACATGATATCTCTACACACACGTACATCTATATTCAGCTTCCTCCCTGCCCTTCCTTAACCTCCTGCCCAACTTCCAGAGGACTGTCTTAATGTGGGAATTGAGCAGCACATGCACATTCCTTTACAAAGTGGCATCTTAACCTGAAGAGGGCTCATTGGTTCTCTGCTGAGCCAGTCTTAAGAATCTCTCTTCCTCCTGGTTTTTACTGTTGGTGTTAAATTCTTCTGTCCTCCCTAATCTTATCTTCCTGATGACATCCAAATCCCAGCAAGATTTATCAACTTGAAGCAAAATAAAAGACTTTTTCTCCAAGGATCCTGTATACTTTTAGAGAGAGTAACTTTTGCATCCCACTATGAGTGGTAAACCACTAGGCTGATTAGCTCTGAAGATGGAGCAGCCCGTGGCTGGGAAAAAGAGAAGAGCTTGGGGATTATATTCTCCTCTTAAAAAGCTCTTGTTCTGCTTCTGCAGATCTGTCTGTGATCCTGGACAGCATCTAAAATCCTTGCAGTATGGGACATTTCCTGGGGTCTCCAGGACTTATCACCATGCATGCAGGTGACACCTGAACACATCCTTGACCACTGTTACTCCTTCATGCATGTGTACACACTCATACTCACGATACCTGTCTCTACTCCCCTAGGCCTGTCTTTATGGCTACTACAGTCATTACACATGTCACATTACATAAATGTGCAGGGTATCTGATTTTTGTCCCATTTGGAGTCTGCTTCCTGGGGGACACACCTGAACACATCCTTGACCACTGTTACTCCTTCATGCATGTGTACACACTCATACTCACAATACCTGTCTCTACTCCCCTAGGCCTGTCTTTATGGCTACTACAGTCATTATACATGTCACATTACATAAATGTGCAGGGTATCTGATTTTTGTCCCATTTGGAGTCTGCTTCCTGGGGGATAACTCAAAGGTTTCACCTATCCCTGGAAAGCCCATCCCAGAGGCCAGGTGGTTGCCCCAGGATTTATCCTGCTCAACCAGGTCCTCCTCCAGCCCTGGCCCCTGGTAGAGTGGAGTCCACAAAGCGTGACTCACATGTGTCAACATCTGGTCTGAATGAGCCAGGTCCCCTCCCCAGCCGCCTCTTCTTGACCCTCCTACACAAACACTCTCCAAAGAGCTGGGGGGGGGGGGGGGTTAAAAGCAGAAGGGCCTCTTCCGTTCATGCAACAACCATTTATCGAGCCCCAGTTTGACACTGAATTCTGTTCTCAGCCCTGGGGATAAAGCAGTGAACAAGACAAGCTAGGACCCTGCTTTGGGGCACTCACCTTCTCGCGAGACTTTCGAAGTTGTTCTCACTCTCCTTCCCCGGCTTCTCTCACAGAACCACCCACCCAGCAGCCAGAGCTTCTACTAGGTTTCTAGTGCTCCTCATTCTCGAGATTTGAAGGAGGCTCAGGAGAGTCAAGAGTGCTGGGTTGTGATGCCTCCGACCCCCGGGGGCTGGGCAAGCGCAGGCCCGAGGGCAGCCCCTCCAGGCGCCTGTGGTTTGCAGGTCACTGCCAAGGCTGCTCTCGCTGCCTTCCTCTGTACGACCTCAGCCCTGGATTCCGAGCTGATTTACAGATTGGAAATACAGTTTGAAGCCAGGTAGACAAACACATATATTGGTCTGCTGGGGATCTCGCAAATGCTTGAGCCTCTCAGAAGCTCCTTTGCTTGTCTGCAAGATGAGCGTGATAACACGTATGTCACAGCACTGCTGCAGAGG